GGGGGGGGGGGGGGGGGGGGGGGGGGGGGGATGGATGGAGAGAAGGATGATCCTTTTATACCTTAGTTGAAGCCGCGTGCTCGAGGACCTGTAAAGTGGCAGAATTAGGGCCTTCCAAGAGGAGCTGTGAAAGCACGGCTTCTCTCTTCCTCCTCCTCTCCAGGAGACCTGCTTCCCTGTGATGGGCATACTTCTTCCTCTTCGGTATTACTATGCCACTACCTGATCCTCTCTGCAACATTTGGCTTGTTGGTGACGTTTGCCGCGGCGGCGACGCCAGGCCAGCCTTGTACTCCCGCGGAATCCCGAGTTCCATATCCTCCGCCTCTGACGCTACTGACTGCGCCCCTCTCACCACCAGTGAATCTGCACTCGCCGCCCGGTGACTGTGAGACAAGGTCGTTCTAACCGAGGACATCACTGCTGCGGCGGACGGGCCTGAGTCTGGATTTCCCTGCATCCTTCTTATGGCAGAATGCACCTGACTGGCATTACTGTCATCCTTCTGCCTTCCGTCCACACTCCCAGATCTGTTTTCCAATGCCTTCTGTAGACGAGAAAAGTCCTCGTACGAAGAGGTCTCAACAAGCACCGGGTTCATATTGAACGATGAAAGATAGTCCGGCGAATTCTCTGAGATAGGATCAATGTTCTGGAACGTGCTAAAATCCTGCAGTACACAACACGTCCACAAAATATTGCGTTAACGTCGTCAAGAGTTACTACAAACTTCAAGACAAATATATTATGTGAAATGAGAACCAAAAAATCGGAAAAAAAGATACCTCCGTAGGAGATATATATTAGAAAAAAATCAATGAACAGTGAACAGCAGTTTTATGAGGGCCCAGTGCCCGAGGCAACAACTACAACGTCAGAAAGCTGCAAGCCTGTCGCAAATTCAGGGGTCGCAAGGTCCCCAATCCCGCTTCGTCGGGTGGAGCCCCTCCCCTGTAGAAACCACCGTCCACAATTCGAAAAAGGAAGCTGAAAAATCCCTTCCAAAGCAGTGTTGCACACCCCGACCGTCGGCGACCCTTGACTGGTCGGCTGCCGACCCGCCGACCGGTCAGCTGGTCGGCACCTACCGGTCGGGGGTGGTCGGCACCCCGCCAAAATATATCCTGTCTCTTATACACATCTAGATGTGTATAAGAGACAGCCTATACACCCCTCCCCACCCCCCCCCATCCCCAAAAGTTTCTCAGCGGATTTGGGCTGTACTCAGCAAGCGCAGTACAGCTTCCAACTCAGATCTGAAAAAACATTAGTGGATGGTTGTTTTCTGACTGGTCGGCCCTACTGGTCGGCTGCAATACGGTCGGCGGTCGGGATCGGCGGTCGCGGTCGGCGGTCGGCCGGGATGCAACCATGTTCCAAAGAGAAAAAAGAAAGTTATTTTGGTTTGTTCGGCTTTAAGGCCTTGTGGTTTGCTTTTCATCCAGGATTGCGGACAGTCAGGGCAGCGGTCTGGTTTTGGCCACTTCTGCTCCTGTACCAAAGTCCCAATGCCTGAACTGAGGCTGGGTAAGGGTCCCAATTACTACTTTTCCGGGTTGTTTGTGGAGGGATTCCCGGCCATAGAATACATATATATGCACATATATCTTGTATACAAATAATTTACATCTATATAGAATACAATCTTACTTGGGTTAATAGAATTAATCAAAATTATACAATAATTGATTCTATTAAATCTAGAATAATCAATGTCACAATCACAGTATTTTACTTCAAAAGAAAATATATTACTATCTTATCAATCTAATAAGTATGAAGACATTGTTGAATTGTACCGACTCCCCCTTTTGTGTGGTAATAAAGGGAGCTGAGCCTTTCTTGTCAAAAAAAATAAAAACTAAAAAGCTAAATGAAAAAAAAAAAATTGATAAAAATAAGCATAGAATTTCGATTCTTAGAGAAAACTACCACATGAACAAAGCACCACAGCACGAACAAATTGAGACCTTCTTGCTAAGGAAGGTCAGAGTCTCTCACAGCAAACCCTGGCTCATCTTCCAGCCAGAACTCAACATCGAGGACCTCGAATTCGACCCAAAGGAGTGGATATGGGACCAGGGCACCACCAGGAAACTAAGGGTGATAACAAAATACGACGTAAAGTTCGGCTATAACCTCGGACTAAAAACCACGGACCCAAACCCAAGGCTGGCGGCGAAGTGGAGAACTATCCTTCACCTAGACCATGCGACCACTATCAACATCCCATGGACTAAATACCTACTTATCCGCCCAAACCGCATCCGCAGCATGCAATGGCTGATAGCACAAACAGCCCTTCCCGTCAACCAATGGCTACATGCAAGAAGGAAGCATTCCGACCCGGAGAGTTCAGAATGCTGCTCATTGTGCAAGAACAACTCACCCGAGGACATCCCTCACTGCCTCCTATCCTGTCCAGAAGCAACATGGATCTAGAAGAAGGTCCGGGAGCTGTGGTCGACCCTGTTCTCAACACCCCCCCCGAACATCCCTCCCCTCTCTATATCTTACTGCTATCTAACACTCCCAGCAACATTAAGGGCAGCAGGGAAGTCTGGTTCTTCCTGCTCAGGAAATTAGCACTGTGGGCATATGGAAGCGCAGATGCACCCGGACAATCGAGAAAGCAGAGGTGGCAAAGGAAGAAATGTGGTCTCTACTACTGAGCATGGCAGAGACGGAAATCAGGAGCAGATGGCAGAGAATAGCGACCTCTATGCAACACAGACCAGAAAGATGAGCAACCAGGAAGCAGACATTCAAGAGAGAATGGTTGCTAAAGGGCAACGTGGATGCGATAGTAGATAACAGATTTAGATGGAAGAAATGGCACCAGGCTATACCACAATGACTATTGGGCCCCACCGGGCTACCTGGCAGAAGGGTCAGAGCTGCGATCAACTACAGTACTCAAAGGGTACACAGAGAAGGACAATGACAAACAACAGAGCTTGTAGCGGACCCTTTCGCTGTTCTCGCTGTGCAAAGAATTATCTGACAGGCTCTGAGTCAAAGCCTGAGAGGAACAAGTGGTCTGGGCAAGCTGACAGTCAATCCTCCTTAGCAGGCGCAATCAATGCTGGTCAGGGTTCCTTCGGCCAGACGGAAGGAAGCGTGAGTGGGTACTATTATGTATTCAATTTTGACTTGCCGGGGGAATAGGAACCGGACTGACGCTCCCCAGAATGGATATGGACTATTATGGAGCCAGGACCTTAAGGACCTGTTCAATTAAAAAAGAAAAGAAAAAAAAAGAAAGAAAAAACTACCACATCCAAGGAAGGCAGCAGGTGCGTAAATTACCCGAGATAGGAAAGAAAAAAAAAGTGTGCACTTGTTGCCGATGTACGGGCCTGATCACGTTAGTGTTATCTTCGGAAAAAAAAAGAGAAAAAGAACAAGAAAAGAAAAAGCATGAGCCTGATCTGATACTGCAAAGATTGAACCGAAACAGCACGAGTGTCAGCCCTTGTGCGATTCGCCGATTCCTCCTCTTTTTTTTTTCCTTTTTTTCTTTTTTTTTCAAAATTTTGATTATTTTTCTTTTTTTCTACTTTTTTGAAGTTTTTTTTCCCTTTTAAGAACCACCTCAAGAGGTGTGAGACCGTGTGACCTTTTCTCTCCCTCTTGCGCGTTCTCTTAATCTGTGTGTGTCATCCTTGTGAAACAGCGTCCTCATCTTCTGCTGTATTGCTGAAATTTTAACAAATGTCCTGCTGAAGTACGACGAGTAGACCTTTCAAAGACATGTCTTTCAAAGTGCTCTTGCAAAGAATAACACGCAACGAAATCCCGCAAGGTTCTAGGAGCATGCATCATCCCGACATTGCCGATTAGATGGGTTAACCATTTCACTGAGGCACGTTGATTGGTTGTACCTTCCGAACAGTTTAGCGACAAAATACTAAACACATGTAGATCAAGAGTTCGAACTCCGTGGGATAAAGCTGTTGTTTATATGCAAACTGGGGACAAACTTCCAACAAAGGCAACTCAGGAGAGCGCATAGCACTTACGAGAATATACTGATATAGAGGACCGGCCAGGCAACATAAACCGAAAATAAATATTAAATATAATTAGGGCTGGTCCCCGGATGGACCGGGGACCCCTACCCCATCCGCAGTCCTCCCGGTTGGACCAGCCGGTGGCCCGGGCCGGTTCCCTCCCGGTCGCCCCCAGCGCATTTTCGCTGGGGCCTTTTTTTTTTTTTTTGGCGGCGCGTATGTATTACGGAGGCCTCGTTGGGGCGGGCCCTGCCCCGCAATTTCGTTACCGGGTCCTGTAGGCCCGGATTTTTGAAGTCCAAGAAGTGGCCAATCTTGGCCGCCGATCGTCGCAGATCAGCGGCAAAGATCAACCACTGTTTTGAATCAGTTTGGGCGGGAAACGGAATTGCGCAGCGGGGGAAAATGCATCGTGCATTCAACCCCGCTCGCCTCCACTCTGTGCAGCCAGTCCGTCGTTGCCTCCGACAGCCAGCCGTGCCATCGTCGCCACCGCCAGCCAGCCACACCATCACTCAGTGCAGCTGCGCCATCGTCGGTAGGTCTCCGTGGGGTGCAGCAGCGCCATAGTTGCCTCCACCAGCCAGCCGTGCCATCGTGCCCCCTGCCAACAAGCCACTCCATCACACCCCCTGGTTTGTTTCTTCTTCTTCTTCTTCTTCTTCTTCTTCTTCTTCTTCTTCTTCTTCTTCTTCTTCTTCTTCTTCTTCTTCTTCGTGGTCACTCTCCTCGCCCGTTAGCCACAGCCGTCCTCTGGTTCTGGTTCTTCTTCTTCTTCTTCCACCTCCTCCTCCTCCTCTTCTAGTCCTCCTCCTCTCTTAGCCATAAGCTTGTGTTCTTCTTCTTCTTCCTCCTCCTTCTCCTCCTCCTCCTCCTCCTCCTCTTCTCCTCCCTCTTCTTCGGCATCTTCTTCTTCTTCCTCCTCCTCCTCCTCCTCCTCCTCCTCCGTTAGCCATAGCCGTTTAATTTTTTTATTTTTTTTTTCTTTGCTGCTTCAACTCCTTTGCGGCCTTCTTCTTCTTCTTCTTCTTCTTCTTCTTCTTCTTCTTCTTCTTCTTCTTCTTCTTCCTCCTCCTCCTCCTCCTCCTCCTCCTCCTCCCCCTCCTCCTCCTCCTCTTCTCTCCCCTCTGCTTTGTCATTTTCTTCTTCCTCTTGCTCCTCCTCCTCTTCTTCTCCTCCCTCATCTTCGTCATCTTCTTCTTCTTCTTCTTCCTCCTCCTC